AACTTTTAGTGCTTCTGTTCTATTTTTTTAACCCCGTATTGTAACCTCTCACATTGGCCTCTATTGGTCTTTGAAGAAAATTTAATAACTTATTTTTGTCTCATTTTTATTTATTCTATCATTTACAAGTTTTTCTCATTATTAAATCTATGAAAGTACTTTTTTATTATACAATAAAATTTCTTGCATAATTCTCTTATTCTATAACTTTTCAAATACATTTATTATCAAAAGTGAATGGCAAAGGGGGATAACTTCTCTCATTAGAATACAAATTAATAGAGCCCTGGTCAGGACCCAAACACTTGACCAAAGATGGTCCAGATGTTCAAAAATCTGGTAAAAATATCCTTGCTTATTAAAACTTTTACTCTGTTTGCCTTCAATATGCCAAGGAGCAGAGATTATTTAACAGAGTTAATGCATTTTCACTATATTATCAATAGAGCCCCACCGTTAAACAGAACATCTGATCCCAGGGCCATGAAACTCACAATTCTTCTTGAAGCTCTCTTGCTCATCATAACTACCGTAATTTTTGGGGTATACGTCGATGGGGTATATAGGTCAAAAGGCTCATTTTTAGCTCTAATTTTTTAAAAAATCCATAGATAGGACGAATTCGGAACATAGGACGAGGCGCTGTTTATCGATTTTCAAGAGATTCTTACATATATTGTACGTATCAGAACATGTGAACTTCTTGGCTTACCCCATGATATTATCATATTGAGAAAATAAAATGGTATTTTTTGAGTAAAACATTTTAATAGTGTTTTATATAAAAAAAAAATTCTTTAGTTGAAACTTCCTTGAATTTTGCTCTACAACAAATTTTCTCCAACTTGCCTGTTCAATGCCGTCGTAGTTTGACTCTGTTGTTAAACAGTATCCATAAATACAGTAGTATACCACAGCTATAAATTAGGGAAATATGGTCCCAGACCAAACAATAATTATTTTCATTTTTAAACATCATGGACACATCCTTAACATAGGCATTAACTACAATATTAACTTCGATGACCGCCAATTTTTATATTTCTTGTAATAAGGGATTAGCTAAAGCACGCAAATGACTATTACATGTAATAGTGAGCAATTGAAATTAATCATATTTTCATGCTATAATTTGGCCTGTGATATTGTTGTAAAAAAATTTAATTGAGGGTACATTTGCAATTTAATAGTCATCATGAATTTCACAGCTTTGTATGTTCAATGATGTGTAGCACTAATACCCCTGTTAGGCACGTGCTGTTAATCATGCCCCGCAGGTGGTTAAACCAACACAGGAGTCAACACCTTTTTGTACACAGTGTATATCCCTTTATCTGTCAGACAATTAAAATTCAAACACAGGCCAATCTTTGAATAAATCAGTGTACTCTTGGGTATGAGGAAGATAAGTGCACTTTATCAGTTAATTAGATACGAAATATTTTTATGATTAACAGTATATTTGATGAATAAATTTAGGAATTACTGGCAACAATTTCTTTCACACATTTTACATATTAAAAAATATCACAAGACAATGAAAAAATATTTAGGTAGACTATTTCAATTCATCAATACACATAAATGGTTAAAAAAAAAGATGATGATTATTTACCAAATTGCAATTGTGAAAACTTCTCCATATTCTAAATTTTGATACGGTTGCGGTTTTATTTTTAGTGAATGAGTGCAACTTCCAACTTCACAAGATGGAGACAGATATAGCATGTTGTAAAATATACTTTGATGAAACCTTATTTACGACATAATTAAATAATTTTTTGGGGGGGTACATTGATGGATATTTAAGGAAACTTAATTTGCAAGAAATCAATGCAATATATATTTAATTCTTTACTATGTATTATTTTTTCTTGGTAAAAATATTTGAAAAAGTTACAAAAATTGTACAGATTTGTTTTGAAATTGACATAAATTTTACGGATTTGGGGTCATTTTTCGTAAACTTGAGCCTTAGAAAGGTCGATTCTTTAAATAGGATGACTCCAACGGTTTTGAGAAAAAATGTATTGACCTATCTTCCAAAAATTACGGTATATACTTATTGTTTCTTTGCTTTTTAACCAGGATCAGAAGAAAATATTTTCAAAGGAATTATGCTTTTTCACTATATAATCAATAGAACCCCCTCCCTCCTTTCACCAGAACCCCAACCCTGGGGCCATGAATTTCCCAATTTTGGAAAAGGCATCCTTGCTTATCATAACCATGCACTTAGTTTATTTAAATAATACTCAGAAGCAGAAAAGAAGATTTTCAACGAATTAATGCATTTTCACTATATTTTCTAATATATATACATGTAGCCCCACCCTAGCACCAGAACCCCTGACCCTGGGGCCATGAATTTCATAATTTTGGTAGAGGACTCAATGATGATTACAATCATACTAACAGTCTGACTGCTTGATGTCCAGGAGTAAAGAAGAAGATTTTTAAAGATTGAATATTGAAGAAATTACAGCTTATTTAAAAGGTTGCACAAAACTCATTTGGAAATTCAGATTTTAACTGAATTGGAGGAAGTTTATATGTCTGATAAGGTATCTTACTGGAATTTTTGACTGGCATAGTCCGTCAAAGTTGCAGCAAAATTTTGCCAAGCTGTGACTGAACAGGCAAGGCAAATGTCTCAAAAGTCAGGGAAATAATTGAAAGTGATCACAGATACACAATTTGTGATATTGCCAAAGCTGGTGGCATATCATTATCACAAGTGCATTTCAATTTGAAGCATATTTTGAAAAAAAGATTTCTGCCAGATGGACACTGGATATATTGACAGATGACCAAAAACGGGTACGAGTAATTGCTAAGCAATTGTACAAAATGTTTCCCAAATTCTATAAAAGACAATTTGCAAACATTGTTACTGGTGACAAATTTCAAACCAGTAAGAAACAAAATATGGCTAAATAAACATGATAAAAGGCCCGAAGTTGCCAAAAGAACCATAAGCACAAAGAAGGTTCTTTATTGCATTTCTTTTCATGTGATGGTATAGCCATACAAATTCCAGTGCTGAAGTGCAAAAGTGTTACAGGTCAGTATTACAGAGATGTTTTACAAAATCGGAGAATATTAGCTTCTTGCCACACCCACCATACTCTCAAGATTGAGCCCCATGCAACTTTTTCTTTTCCCAAAACTTGGAAAGTTCTGATCTGGTCATCGTTAAAGTCCCGATAAGCCGTTGGCTCAGCCATCAGTCAGTGCCTAAGAGATCTACCTAAATCATCACACATTTCAAAAATGGATTTGTACATTGTGTATTAAATATAAAAAAATCCTACATGAACTGTTGTCAACTTTAAAGGTGCTTGGACACAGATTTGAAGTTAATATTTTCTCAAATTTTCTGTAAAATTTCATGACTTATATGTTGCTATAGCATTTCATACTAAAATATAATAAAAATCTTATTTCATCTCGAAGTTATTGAAACTTCAAATTTCTAGACGCGTTTGATTGACACATCCTTGCACTTTCACAAATTTTAATTTTATTCTTAATACTTAAGCAAAGTGGCAATTTTGTTGTGTATTAATGAAAAATATCAAAACTATAATCCAGAAAATTCAGAGTAGAAATGTTCGAAAGCAAAACCCACTCACAGTATTGTCAGTCCATGCTCAGTGGTGTGTGCAGACTTTAACAATTGAACATACCCGGTGAATCGGAAACATTAACAATAACAGAGCTCGTGCCCTGTTTACAAAAACAGTTTACGTTTCATGGGTGTGTTCAGTTTGTTAAACTCTGTACACAACACTGAGCATGGGCTGACGATATTAGTGAGGGGGTTTGCTTTCGAACATTTCTACTCTGAATCGCTTCTTTTCTTAAATATTAAGGATAAAGATAAAATTTGTGAAAGTGCAAGGAAGTGTTAATCAAATGCGTCCAGGAATTCGTAGTTCCAATAATTTCCAAATAAAATAAGTTTTTAATTATATTTTCATGTGAAATGCTATTGCAATATATAAGTCGTGATATTATACAAAAAATTCAGAAAATATTAACTTCAAATCTGTGTCTAAGCACCTTTAAACAAGTGTATTGAGTTGCTTCTTAGACCTGTCAGTGCAGAGACCTGATCATATCCTGAGAGGTTTTACAACTCTGTCATTGATTCACCTGCCTTCGTGAGCTTTTGCTTTTATATTGTCTGATATTTGTGTTTATAAGAATACAACAGATTCAGACATTGAAATTATGTATTTCAAACTGCGGAGAATACTTTGAAGGGATATAATGCTCATTTTACTATTCAAGTCGAATGCTTTTGAGATATCGTCAATACACATTATATAATGCATTGAACAACCCTCATATTTATTAAAGATTTCAAGAGTAATATAGGAGAAAATAAAATTTTGTGTTCCTTAGCAATTTTAACCATTTCAGAAAATTAAATAGACCCTATATTTTTTTATGCTGGATATCATCCCAATGGCTGATTTATAAAATAAACCATTGCAAGTAATTATCTTTACACCTCATGTGAGGTAAGAAAATGTTTATTTGTTCATTTTGTTTTTATGTATGTCTTGTATAATATTATGTTCTGCAAGTTTTATGTTGTAGACATACTATTTTTTTATGTGTGTCTTATTTGAATTTTGTTTCATTTCATAGCATTTATGTTGAGAAATCATATTGAATTAATTACTTATTTAGCAGAGATTGTGTGTAATAACTATTTTCACAATTAAGAAGTTATATGACATGATTTAATGGATAATCATAAACAGCAACAAGTAAATTGTAAAGTAATTATTTGGTTCAAGTTTACCATATATTTATTTCAGTTTTATTTTGTTACTATAATTTTAGTTTTATTCACAGGGTTTCCATGTATATTTGTTAGCAAAAATTATCCTATCACACTCCAAAGGACTCGTTTCATTTCCATGCTGGATGCCTGGTAAATATACCTTTGTGAGCTAAAGAAAAAAAAATAAATAAAATAAAATTACCTTTTTTGAAAAATGAGGAAAACCACTTGGTTAATTTGGATTGTGACTCACTGGACCTCCTTTGCTCCATTATCCTTTTAAACTCTTCCTCATGCAAGAGAACTTGTAATTTTTTCAAATAACGCATCCTGTCATTTTGGTCAATATTTGATCCACTTTTGCTCAAAGAAGTTACTGATAATTTCTTGCAAAATTCCTCTATTATTTCTTCATAGCCTCCATTTCTGTCTATATGCATGTCTAAATTTAAAATATAAAATCATTATATTTGTTAAATAACTATGCAAAGAGTTTAACATGAATTTCATTTCAACACAGGAGGCCCATGGGCCGTAATGCTCACTTGAGTCAATATGGCCCCATTATTCTTCATCAACAGATTTTTTTCTTTGATATATTCCTATGTAAAACTTTTATCCCTATTGTGACCCCACCCTGTCCCCCAACATCATGATTTTTATAGATGTAGCCCCATCCTACCCCTCAGGGCTATGGTTTGAACACACTTGAATCTACACTACCTCAAGAAACTTCCATATCATGAGACTAAACACGGCACTGCTGCTCTTGGAGAAAAAGATTTCAGAGAATTTTTTTCCTATACATCCATATGTAAAACTCTGATAGTGCATTAAGGACCCAATTCCTACCCCAGGGGTCATGATTTGAAATCATGAATCTTGAATCTACACTACCTGAGAATGTTTCCTTATTAATATAACAAATCATGGCTCTGCTGTTCTTGAGAATAAGATTTTTAAAGACTTTTTCCTATATATTCCTATGTAAAACTTTGATCCCCCATTGTGGCCCCACCCTACCCTCAGGGGCATGATTTGAACAAATTTGAATCTACACTACCTGCGGAAGCTTCCATATCAATATAAATAATCATGGCTTTGCTGTTCTTGAGAAGATTTTTGAAGATTTTTTCCTACATATTTCTATGTAAAACTTTGATCCCCCATTGTGGCCCCACCCTATGCCTGGGTGGCATGATTTGAACAAATTTGAATCTACACTATGTACAGAAAGTTTCATAATTATAAGTTTCAACTTTTTTGGCCGAGTGATTCTTGAGAAGAAGATTTTTAAAAGATACCAATAAATTTTCACAAATTCTTAATTATCTCCACTTGAAAGAGGGCGTGGCCCTTCATTTGAACAAACTTGAATCCTCTTCACCAAAGAATGCTTTGTGGCAAGCTTAGTTGAAATTGGCTCAGTGGTTCTGGAGAAGTCGAAAATATGAAAAGTTTAAAGATGGACAGACAGCTAGACAGATGGACGACGGACAAAATGTGATCAGAAAAGCTCACTTGAGTTTTCAGCTCAAGTGAGCTAAAGAAAAGTCTACATAATGGAAATCAATAGCAAGAGGCCCAAGGAACAGAAAGCTTGCCTGAGTCACTTTAGCCCTGCTGTTCTGCATCAGATATTTTTCTCAATATACTTGTATTCCTATGAAACATTTTGATCAACTTTTGTGGCCTGGCCCACCCTATACACAGGGGCAAAATTTGAGCAAAAATGATCAACACTAAAAGAGGACCTTCCACATTCATATGATTCATCATAGCTTTGCTATTCTTGAGTAGAGAATTTTAAAGATTTTCCCTATGTAGTCCCTATTATGTCCCCCTCCCCCCCCCCCCTTCCCTGGGAAAAATGATTTAAACAATTTAAAATTTACACTACCCAAAGAAGCTTCCACATAAGTTTCAGCTTTGTTGGTCCAACTGTTCTTAAGAAGAATTTTTTTTTAAATTAAATTTCTATGTAATTAAAAACTTTTAATCCCTATTGTGGCCCACCCTACCTGGGGGACCATGATCTGAACAATTTACCATCTACACTAGCTCAGGAAGCTTTCACCTGGATTTATCTTTTCTGGTCAAGCAGTTGTTAAGAAAATTTTTGTTTAAAAAACTTTTCCTATTTCAATGTAAATCTTTCATTCACCATTGTCAAACCACCCTTAACCCATGGGGATCATGATTTGAACAATTTAGAATTTACACTACCTCAGAAAGAGTCACGAGCCACATAAGTTTTATCTTTTTTGGCCTAATAGTTCTTGAGAAGAAGATTTTTTAATGTCAACACCCTATTTTCAGTTTTTCTTCATTATCTACCCTTGGAAGGGACGGGGCTTGGTTCTTCATTTTAACAATTTGGAATTCTCTTTACTCAGGGATGCTTTGTACAAACTTTAATTTGGCCCAGTGGTTCTTGAGAAGAAGTTGAATACATGAAAAGTTTACAAATGGACAGATGGATGCCGGAAAACAAGTGATCAGAAATGCTCACTTGAGCTTTCAGCTCAGGTGAGCTAGAAATTTTCCTGCATTGCACTTCGCTTTCTTATAAATTAAAATTGGAGTTTTCATCAATCCATGTTGCTAATAAACATTTGCAGATATTATACTTTTATGTAAATTAGTTGAATATGATTACATGATTTGTCGAGAAACATTTGTTAAAAAACACTATTACCCTGTGAATGATGAAACCATGCCCTCCAGCGTAGCAACAGTCAACACTGCTTGACGACGGGTGATAATCCAAAAATGATTGAATGCGCAGAATTTATGCATGCACGGTTCAGTGTTATATTTATTTGTATAAAACATTCAGTATAATATAATAAATACAGCATGTAGTTGAGGGTAACATTGAAAATTTTCACCCTAAGAAAACCATTGTCAACTAAGGCACAGACAGACAGATAGACAGGGCAAAAACTATATGCCCCAACTCTTTGATTATGGTTTAGCTGTGTCTGCAAAAACTTCAACATTGCCCATAACTTTTGATTGCTTGAAACTATGGCTTTCATATTTCACATTTGTATTCCTTGTGACAAGACCTTCCTTTGGGTACCAACATATCTGACCTCTTGACCTTGGAGTTTGACCCACTTTTGCAAAAATTTACCCAACTTTAACCTTGGGCATAACTTTCGAACACTTAGTGCTACGGCTTTCATATTTCATGTGTATTCCTTGTGACAAGCCCTTTCCATGGGTGCAAATTCTTTTGTCATTTTGACCTTTACCTTAGAGTTGACCCTTTTATAAAAAACTTTAACCTTGACCATATCTTTTAAACAGTTAGCACCAGGCTTTCAAATTTCACAGGTATATTCCTTGTGACAAGACCTTCTTTTGGATACCAACAATTTTGACCTTTAGACCTTGACCTTGGAGTTTGACTTACTTTTAAAAAACTTAAATTTTGGCCATAACTTTTGAATGGTTGGCGCTAGGGCTCTCATTTTTCATGTGTATTTCTTTTGTGAAGGCCTTTCCTTGGGCAACATTAATTTTGACCATTTGACCTTGATTTTGACTAACTTTTGAAAAACTTTAACATTTTCTATATCTTTTCAATGGTTGCTGCTAAGGCTTTCATATTTCACAGGTATATTCCTCGAGACAAGACCTTACTTTGGGTACCAACATATATGATTTGCATTTGAGAAGGTTTAACCTTCGCTACAAGTTGCCATGCGGTGGCATCAGTGTTTCACAAACACATCTTGTTCTTTTAAAGAAATGGGAACATCATTTGTCATTTTTGTTGCATGACAAAGTGACCATACTTGTTTGTTGTTAAACATATCAAAGTACACTCATCAGCAAATGTTCATTTCAAATCCTTCTCAAGTTAGAGCTCAACATTAACTTTTAAACATAATAGACCAGTTCGACTAAAACCTGAAAATTTTACTAGACCTGACCTTATTTCTGTGATTTACTGAATGACTTGATTAATGAGTACTAAAATATTGACATGAAAAAATAAAACATGGTTAAATAATGACGTCAATATTAAACCAATTTATGATTATCATATTTTGTTTTGTTTTGTTTTTTTTTTGGGGGGGGGAGGGGGGGGGGAGGGGGGTTTGGTGGTGCAAAAAATGTTATAAAATGTAACAGAATATATTTCTTTTTATTAAATTCAATGGAAAACATATATGATTGCGCCCATGGGAAAAGGGCCCTTATGGCAATTTTTACACATTTTAAGTTTTTCATGGATATTAATAGAGCAAGGTTAGAAGTTGCCAAATCTGAATTTTTATGGCCCTAAGTCAACTCTAAGTAGGTTTTTTCTTCATTTATATCAATGATACTTTAACAGGTAAACAATGACGTCATGTTACTTTCGCACCAACGTCAAAAGTTTTCAGAGTGAACATGACTTTCACTTTGCATTGTAATGTTACTACGGTAATAAATGTATGTTATTGAGCATTTCCAGAAACATTTTTGAGTCATTGTCTCTTTTAATAATTGTATAATGTAATAATAAATAGTTGTATTAACTACTATCCATCATGCAGTGGTGTATAGAATTATGAGTGTTTGTTCGTTTGATTGTTTTACAATTCACTATACTGGAATGTCAAGAAAACCCGAGAAGCAAGCGGCTTCTGTTCAATATCAATTTATTCTCTCAAAACCAAAGTATTTATCTCGTGTAATAATCGTTTGAGAAACCTGCAATACTTGTAGTTAACATGAGTTTAATAGCATACGAGGGTTGTTAAAATCTTCCTACATTTTAGGTGTGCAGGGGGGATGCCTTCCCACCACCAACCCCATAACCTCAAAATACGTCATTTTGTTAGGTTTGAAATAATATTGAAATAATTCCTCAATTTATTTTTGCACCCTGAACTCTCTCCTTACGTACATGTATATGAGCAGGGTAATTTTCAAAACAAACAGCGATCATGAGCTCCACATGCCTGGAACTGGAAACTTAACTGCTATCAAATCTAGTTAATCATGAGAAAAATTGCGTCCTAGTATAACGATTTTGTTTGATTTTGTAAAATTAAATGGTTTTAGAAGAACATGTATACACTGGGTATTAATAGATATCGGGTATTTTATTGTCATTTCAACAAATTTTATCCGAACTTTGAATGAAATCAATATGTCATTTTTTAAAAATTAATATCAAATAGATTTTTCTAAGAAATAAATCATAATTGTGACATGACCCGGCGAGTTTTCCTTTGAAGTCAGCCGTACAATAACTGCGATACAGAACACTTTTAGTGGGCATTTCTTATGCAAATGAGCAGAAACTGTACTGTATCTGCAAAATATCAACGATATTTTTAGTGATGACGGAAAACTGAATCCGTATATTAAATAATATAGATAAGAATCAATCAAATCGCATGATACGCTGTTAGTATTTCCAAATTTGAAATGAA